GGAAAGAGTGGAAGTGCGTGTCCAACCAGTCTTAGGATTGACGATCCTGATGATAACGAATTCTTGTTATTTAAAAATTACTTGCATTTTGAAAATATCTTTAAATACTTCTGAATTATTACATTACATATTGTGATAATTAATTTATAAAAAAAAAATGTATTTATCTCTCGTTTGCTTAAGCTTGATATTTCTTTACAAGGTCTGTCTAAATTTATAGTTATCGTTGAAAAACATGCGTATTCCTACTTATTAACACGCATGATTCTAAAAAAAAATTGTTATGTAACGCAAGAGGATGAGGAAGTATCCTAAATTAATGTGCTACTAATAAAAACAAAAATTTTAAATGTTTACACATATATTCAAGTACCTAAGTAATGATAATTAATAAACCGAAAAAAAAAAAAAAGAATTATGTAAGAGTTTATTTGTTTAAAAAAGGTCAGGTAGTTATGTTTTCTATGAAATTATTGTTTTTAAAGATAGTTAACTTTGAAGTTAATGTAAGACAAACGGTCGTTTTTTCATTTTTTAAAACCTGGATAAATACCTGATTAATAAGCAAGGTAGCGAAACCTCTGACCTGACTGAACAGTCCGTTGTATGTAAATGAGTTTTTAATAATAGTTCAATTTTGAATAATTTTGTGTAAAAATATAATCTACCGTCGTTTATTTGCAATGAACGTTGACATTCAGTAAATTTAACAATCGATAGTCGATTATGTAGAAAATCTATGGTAACAGTGTTACGAAAAAAGTTTCATGATTCTTCTTATCAGCAGATATAAAAATAAAGTCTTCAGTCATATGGATTAGTTAGAACTTCACTTATCACTAAATGATAATCGTATCTTACAATTTTTTTGGTCTGTTTGCAGTTCTTAAGGAATTATGATTAGAAATTGTACTACTTAATATCCTTACCCTTAGAATAATCATATCCAATTAGTAAAATAGACGTTTAACATTGTCAGATAATAATTAATGATTCGTAACACTTACCGGAAGGAAAAACAGCAACAACAACAGCATTAAATCATGAATGAGTAATTAGTTATGTTGGGAAGCCTACTGTTTCCGTTGCACCAGATGGGACAAAGTCTGATAATGAGTCACACTTCTTTGGAAAGATTGTGAACCTACATAGAATTATGATAACGGACTATGCGATGACACCTTCATATAACAAATCCTACAGTTGTTTTAGCGCCTATCAATTAATTGATTGTTGCTAACGTAGTGAGAATGTTGCAGGGGTAAGCAATTAAATGCTTATTTTTTCCCTGATAATACGATAGAATATATGTAAAATAACTCGTTAAATTTAGTTGCATGTAATTCTTAAAGAAAAGAAATAATTGAGGTCCATTTTTACTAATTGTAAATAATTTATAAATCGAAATTGATTTTAAATGGAACATTTTTCCGTGAGTTATACCTAAAGGAATTGCAGTGTAACATCCCATATACAGCAGCTGAAATATGCACAAATGATTTATTTACGTATACAGATAAATACATATATATATGATTTTGTTCTTGTTCTGCAATTTGTTGTTAATTCGTTTAATTTATTCTATCATTTTTATTTTTAAAAATTGAGAAAATTGAAACGTGTATATTAACTAATAAATTCTGGTATTAAATTAATTTACATAGCACGCTGCAATAGGCTTATTACACCCCGTATATTCGTGAATAATTTGCATTAGTTAATTAAATTAGTAAATCGTAAATTAAAAATGACTGGTAACTTATTAATTTTATAAACCAGTTGTACATTTTCTAAAAATGGTAATAATATTTATAATAGTAGATACATGCATGTATCTTCTGTATATAAATTGCAGCTGTACACGTACGTAAATCATACTACGTAACCTTGAAATCAAAATTAACACTAAAATTAGTGATATAAAAAATAGGCACACTTGATGGAAAACAAACACAAAAACCTGTTTACCGCGGTGATGGATATTTTTTAATCTTCAACTAAAATACGTGACGTAAGATAATAAAAAACGTATGCAATAAAATTAAAGTCATTATAAAGGTATAGTCGGCTAATTAATAAAAAATAATATTCATCACAATAATGTTTCAAAAATTTAATCGATATCGAACATCAAGATATCTACCTAGTTCTTGGAAAAAATGAGTAGGTAAAGAATTATGAGAAAATCGTGGTAATAATGTTATTAATTAATAATGTGACTGATAATAGTACACGGTATGCTACAACAAAGCTGGTTTTGTAAAAAGGGCTGCTCTCAAAGCATTTACATATGGGTACATTTTATTTTTAAAAAAATGGTTTTATGAGGCACTAGAAACATCGATTTGCCATCAAAATTTATTTTGTCAAGTGAAAATTTCATTTGTAGAGTACAAAGTAATGCATGAACATATTATAGTGATTGTAATATGTTAAAGTGGTATTAAGTAAAAATCTAAATACAATTTCAAGTACTTTGAAAAATTATTGACAATTTTAAAGCATGTTTTCTTACAGTGCTGGTATAGTTTTGCTTTAAATACATACGTGCATGAAAAATAGAATTTAGATTTTGTTCAAGGATTGGGAGTGATGTTAAATTGAAAAAGGAACCGAAATGTTTACAAAAGAATAAGTAAATTGCTTAAATACTTAGTATACTAGTAAATGTACTAATTATGATTATTTAAGCGGGAAAATTTATTTCAAAAAAGTTGGCATGTAATGACATTTAATAAAAAAAAATTGCCATGACTAATTTTGAGTTTAGCTGATCTATTCGGCGGAGTAGATAATCGAGTTCGTGATGATAATAAAAAGAAACAACCTGAAATTTAATTTCTTGTGTTGATTCAATTTGATCTACGGATTTAGAGTTTAAAGCAACTCTCAATTTTGCTCATATTTTAGTTAATACTAATACATTTTTGTCATTTACTTTTGACATGCTTCATTTTTTATTAAATGAACTAAATAAGTTACAGTGTAGTTTCCAATTTGACAAGATCTCTTGATTCTTTTGTATACGTTTTTGGATATTGTTGCCATATGGAAGTTGTTCATTTATTAACAAAACACCATCGATAAGCAGACGTTGTTGCGCTAACAAAATGAAGTGGATAGGAGCTTTTTTGTGCCCTCCTAATTCGCGAGGTCCTAACCCGTATGTAAATGTAAAGCCTTCATAATAATAAGATGATCCGACACAGTAGTGGTGTTACCAGACTCTCGGATGTCACCAGATTTGGACATTTCACGAGTCGGGAGCCGCATCATTGACGAATTGGTCAAGCCCATGACGGAGGTCCAAGTCGACGACACCGAGTTCGCCTGTCTAAAAGCCATCGTCTTCTTTGATCCCAGTAAGTAATCTTACATTTTAATAAACTATTAATAAGTATGAAATTAACAAGGATGGGATAATGCCTAGTTCCCTCCCATATACCTGTTTTGACGTGACAACGTCTTATAATTCGATGGAGCCGGCTGCACGCACGAAAAAACATGACTCATGCGGCGTTACCTCGCTCTGAGGCGTTCCATTTAAGGCTTGAAGTGCAAGCGAGAGCGCGGAACGAGCGACAAAGAGGCACAATCGGCCTCCGCGTTCGGCAGCGTTCGACATCTGTCTCTCTCCTACTTGAGTGAGCGATGCGTCCGCGTGGACAGCTGCTATACAATAATACATTTCCATTTACCTCCTTCTCTATATCCATACAAAATATCTATCAAACAAATAAAATTAAAATTTTCTTTTGAAAAATGAAACCATTCCATCAGTATTTTCTTATGACGTTGTCACGTTCAACTATCGTCAGTAAACCGACTTTACAGACAATCGATTTTTTTAAATTAGGGTTAAAATTTTCGGTATGTCGAATTCCCTCCTAATTATACATCAATTGCCTACCGTCGGCTAAAACTAATAGAGTTTTTCTAGATGATTGAATCAAAAAGCTAGACGCACACGAATTTCCAAACATTGTATTTGTTAAGGTAGTGGGCAACCATTTTAAAATTAAATAAATAAACTTTTCATAACTGATATGTGTTCTCTTTCTGAAATTATTTTATCTTTAATTTACTGAAGTACTGAAGTGCACTATAAATATAGATGTATTTTCCATAAATAAAATCAGTAAGTAGTCGTTAACTTAATTATCGGAGCTGATATGAACGGGAGGGAACTCGGCTAGTATCCGGGAGGGAATTCGACTATTTATATTTTAACCAAAACTACCTGCGACAGGGAATTCGGCATCACCGCAAGGATGAGCTCCATAAATAAAAACGGTCACCAGCCCTTACTGAAGACAATAGACAATATTGTGAATTTATAAAAGAAAAATTATCTAAAATTTTAAAAATTCCAATCGTAAGGTTGGCTACCCTGAAATCAATCTACCCATGTGCGCGCTTACTGATCGGAAAGGGGGATTCCCCGTCGTTTTTTTCGGCTTCGATAAAATGACTAAAGAAAGTGTTATTATTTATAATAGGCTGTANGCAAGAAAGTTGAAATTGTTCTCATTGAAATACATTTCATTTTATTCAAAAGAATCAAATGATTTACTAATAGTCTTTTGTTTCAATACTAAATTCCTAGGTCCCGACAATGCTCCAGATTGTTGTTAAGTTTAAGAAAATCATCGTAGAAATGATTTAATAAGAAAAGCGAACAGGGGCGGTGAGCATGATTTCGTTGGATAGGAAGTCAGATAACATCAAAAAAATTGTAAGGCCCCCAAGTGGTGTTAGCCCACCAGCCCCCCCCAATTCGCAGTCAGATTTTCTCAAACAATTTAGTGTTTTCTTTAGTGCTTTGTTATATCTGATATAGATGATCATAGTAATTACTCAAAAGCCTGCAATTATGAGTTTAACTTTTACCTAAGTCTTGAAAGGCTTGTTGGACAAGATTATTTGTAACTTTAAAGAAGATAAGATATTCTATATATATAATCACAAAACACGACAAATTATACATTATAATAAGAAGTCGGTTTAGTGGCTTAGTTTGTACGTTATCCCTAAAAAGCAATATTTTTAATATTCATAGAAGACTTAATAAAAAAACATTCTTTTATAGCTAAAGTCGACGATCTGAACTTGCATCTACTTGTGCATACAGAAAATCTGGTTTTAATGTAAATTGGACATAATTAAAACATAAATTAACACACGTGTTTAGGTGTTCGTTTCAAAATCGTGCTTCAAATTAAGGTGTTGCAATGACTTTCACCTTGAAAATGCAGCCAAGTTGCATATTTCGTCAGTTGAAATGTTTATCTTTCTTTCAATTTTTTATACTTTACTGTGTATTTAAACTATTGACAAGAAATCCAAATGCTTTCGAAAGTGTTTGCCTTGTAGCTCTAGGTAAATATAATTCCAATTACATAATACCAGATGTTAAATATTAATAGTAACGTTTAATAATATGACATTTAGATGAGATCTGAATGAAAATAGATCCCGAAGCTTGTTCTTCGTGGTTCTAAATGTTGTTTTGCATTTATGTATATTTAGGTCTTCCTTTTTTGAGTTTTCATTTGGGTTTACAAGTGTTTTTCAAAATAATTACCCAACTATGTTACGTTACACCGTTAAAGTTTTGATATATCTATGTTTATTTTGAAAGTCCTTTACCAACGAGTTGAATTATGTAATCAAAGTCACAGTAACACAATAATGTCTAGTTGGTATCTAACAGAAAAGATATCCGGTAATATATTGTTGTCATTGCCAATAAATGTTTAAAATAAACATTGATGAATGTACATATGTCACTGTTAAATGCCTACATTTATACCGATGTATTAGAATCATTTCAGCAATGTATTAATATATTATTGCATAATTACTGTATTGATACCTTCATGTATCAGCGAAAGGACCAAAAAAATTAACAATTGCTTATTACTTTTTTATATATCCACTAGTGTTTGTATTTTTGAAAATTCGTTCCATGAAAATTGGTTAAAAAAGACTGGAAATTATGAATGATTTTCTTTCATTTCTCAGAAGCACATCTTATTCAAAGCAAATGTAACTTTTCGGCATCCTGGGAATTCCCAACCCCATGTATTTCTTCAAATTATAAAATTCTTAACTAGCCCGTAATACTACAATTTTTGCAAATGCACCGTTGAGTTAACATATAGATCTGCCTCTGCATTCTACTTCAAAAATAGCAAAAAATCATTTGATTTTTTTGTATGCTCAATGGATATTTGCTTATCATCATCATCATCATAATATCGTCAGTCCTAAGACTGGTTGGACACGCATCTCCACTCTTCCCTATCATGAGCTAATCTTCGCATTTCCCTAAAACTATAACAGCCCACATCCTTAACTATTTGCGAACAGTAATTTAATCTAGGTCTACGTCTACCCCTCCTAACTTCCGTTTCTGCCTCCTATGTCTCTTACTAGACCTTCATGCCTGAGAAGGTGTCCTACTTAACCTATCTCCCCTATTTTTTATTGACTTCCATAGAATCCTCTGTTCTCCTACTCTTTCCAATGTCTCTTCATTTCTAACCTTCTCTATCCACGATATCCTCACCATTCGCCTGTAACACCACATTTCGAACGTTTTTAACCTTTTCTTTTCCGCCGCGTCCACTGTCCATATTTTGCACCCGTACAGCGCCCCGCTCCAAACATACACTTTAAATAACCTTTTTCGAATTTCTAAATTAACCGTTCGCTTGCATAGAAATGATTTTTTTTTTATTGAAGGTGACTCGATCCTACGCTATCCTCTGCTTTATACTACTTCCGTCCTGACTTATCTGACTTCCTAGATACCTACAATCGGTCGCTTCTTCTAATTTTTCGTCTCCTATCTTTATATTCGCTCTTTCCCTACTTTTGCTTATACGGTTTATATTTACTGAAAGATTCACTATTTTTGCAGTAAGCAAAAAAAACAGGAAGTATAGTGTGCCATAAAGTTTTTCGCTATTTTAGCCGATTTCTCGATCCTACGTATTTACTTACGATTGAATACCTACAAAATATGCGTCAGTTGCACAAACTATCGTGCGAGTAACCCTAGTATTCTTTAATACCTACTTATATGAATGTTGACTTAACAAAACTTACAAAATTTTCCACGTACATGTGTAATGAGCTCAAATGACAATAATTATTTATTCGAGGCCAGTTATTCAACCTTGCTCGATAGCATTAATGTATGCAAGCAAGAAAGTTGAAATTGTTCTCATTGAAATACATTTCATTTTATTCAAAAGAATCAAATGATTTACTAATAGTCTTTTGTTTCAATACTAAATTCCTAGGTCCCGACAATGCTCCAGATTGTTGTTAAGTTTAAGAAAATCATCGTAGAAATGATTTAATAAGAAAAGCGAACAGGGGCGGTGAGCATGATTTCGTTGGATAGGAAGTCAGATAACATCAAAAAAATTGTAAGGGTAGGATAAAAAGGGAGGAGGAGTTCACATAAACCAAGGGAGTAATAATTGTCTAATAGGTAAATCGTGAATTAAAATTATTAATTAATTGGCTCCATGAATTGTGGATGAACTGATGAATTTGTAATTATTTTAAAATTGAAATAACATCTTCGGGTGACCCAATTTTTATATTTTTTAATGAAGATCGAAGACGCTATCAAAATAATAGCAGACACGACAACTGTAGGGATAGATATAGAGAGGCAAAAGATTCGTTTGCTCAGATTTGCAGGTGATATAGCAATATTAGCGTCTAGCAAGGAGGAGTTAGAGATAGGTTTAAATAAAATGGAAGCGGTATCGACAAAACAGTATTGTATGAAAATAAATAAAAGTAAAACAAAAATACTGGTATGCAAGGGAAGAAAAAGTAGGGAAAGAGCCAATATAAAGATAGGAGACGAAAAATTAAAAGAAGTGGCTGATTTTAGGTATCTAGGAAGTCAGATAAGTCAGCACGGAAGGATTAGTAGGGATACAAAGCAGAGAATAGCGCAGGGTTGAGTCGCCTTCAATAAAAACAAGTCATTTCTATGCGCGCGAATGGTTAATTTAGAAATTCGAAAAAGATTATTAAAGATGTGTGTTTGATGCGAAACATGGGGTTACCGTGGATAGAGATGGTTAGATATGAAAAGGTGTTTGAAAAAATAAGAGAACAGAGGTCTCTGTAGTGATCAATAATAAATAGGCGAGATAGGTTTCATGCAGGGCTAGGCAGAGACATATTAAAAGTATAAACAGGAGTTAAGAGGAGTGGTGGTAGACCTGGATTAGATTACTGTTCACGATTAGTTAAAGATTGTGGGATGTTCCAGTTTTAGGTAAATACGAAGATTAGCTCAGGATAGTAGAGAGTGGGGGTGCGTGTTCAACCATTCTAAGGACTGACGACCTTATGATGATTATAATGAATTTAAGTGTTAACTTTTTTCTGCTGTTTTTACATGAAAGATGTGGATCAGTTTCCACATTTTGGAGAGTTATAAAGAAAAAAGCGGATTATTACTAAGTTTCTCCCTCAGATGCAAAAGGTCTCAGTGAACCGCAACGAATTAAGGCCCTGCGTTACCAAATCCAGGTCAACCTAGAAGACTACATAAGTGACAGGCAGTATGACAGCAGAGGACGTTTTGGTGAACTTTTACTGACTCTTCCCGCTCTACAATCAATCACCTGGCAAATGATTGAGCAGATACAGTTTGCCAAATTGTTTGGAGTGGCCCATATTGACAGCCTTTTACAGGAAATGCTATTAGGAGGTACCCATTTCTTATCCTTTTTGAACTGTTGCAACTTTTCTTTTTCTTTTCTTTTCTTTCTTTTTTCTTGCAAATATACTGTAAATAGCATGCACAACCAAAGAGCATTCCATGAGCAATCAATTTTGCTGTAGTTCATGAGAAAATGCTTGAGATGAAATTATGACTACAATGCTGTAGGTAGTTTAAACTAATCTTTTAGATTATTTTACTTTTGAGTTTGTTTGTTCAGTATCAAAATCCTTATGGCATGCATTCTTTTACTCATTATCTATCTATCGAGATAAATTTACGTGTAGATGAAAGCTTGTAGTTATGAAATCTTTATTTTCCCTTTCCTCCTTCACCTTCCCGTGTCTAATGATGAGTAGAACCTGTTCCAGGAGCCACGTTGGACACGATAACGGCCCCAGTGCCGCTCTCCGCTAACGCTTACCAGACTGCCCATAGCAACCATAGCGATTCGTCGGAAGACCCCAGCACCCCGTCAGCGGTATCACAATGTAGCAGTCCTAATGAACCGTACCTGTCCAATGGTAATCTTGCCAGTCCGCCCGCGGTCGCAACCGAAAACGGTTCCAGCATCCTGGTCCTCAGGGAAATAACTCCCATTGGTGGTGACGCTTATCGGGTACCATTCAAACAAGAACCAAAAATGGAAGCGGAACAACAGTCTTTTTAGTGCTCACAATATATTCGGTGCCAAGGGTGAAAGACTGATAGCTATTTGAGAGCTCAAGAACTTTTGTGAGTAGTGAAATATTTTTTTAATACGTTGGTATTTGAGAAACACAATGAACGAGTATTAAAACTGCAGTGATTGTGATCATGCTCTGCCTCGTCTTACAGGACTGTTTAAGACGTTGCAATTATTATTTTTATTATTATCGTTATTATCAATACACTAATAAATATCAGGGAGTCTTAAGTTGTAGTAGATAATGGAACGTTTTACTTGAGGATTGGGCACTACGCTTGTTGTGGCTGTGAAAAGTCGTACCATTTCGTGTAGGTCAATAGATTAATGGCGCAGCTAGTAAACTTAAATTTTATAACCAAAATAATTCGTAAAAATTGAAAGTAATCGACCCCCCAAGAAAACATTACGAAAAATGGTTTTAAATCGATTTGACTAAAGCTTTGAGGAAATGTATTTTTAGATCATTAAAGAAACCTTAATGATCACAAATTCTGACAATGAGTTGTTTTTCAAGAATTTTTCATCGTCGCAAAAAACTGTACGAAAAATGGTTTTAAGTCAATTTGGCTAAAACTTTGAGAAAATGTAGTTTATGTCGTGTTGATAGAAAGCTCTCAAAGAATATCTATTTTTAGATCATTAAAAAAACTTTAATGATAACAAATTCCAATAACGCATTGTCCTTTAAGAATTTTTCATCGTCGCAAGAAACCTTACGAAAAATGGTTTTATGTCAATTTTGCTTAAACTTTGAAAAAATGTAGTTTATGTCGTGTTGATAAAAAGCTCTCAAAGAATATCTATTTTTAGATCATTAAAGAAACTTTAATGATAACAAATTCCAATAACGCATTGTCTTTTAAGAATTTTTCATCGTCGCAAGAAACCTTACGGAAAATGGTTTTAAGTCAATTTGGCTAAAACTTTGAGGAAATCTAATTTATGTCGTATTGATAGAAAGCTCTCAAAGAATATCTATTTTTGAAACATTAAAGAAACTTTAATGATCACAAATTCCGGCAATGAGGTTTTTTTACGAATTTTTCATCGTCACAAGAAACCTTACGAATAATGGTTTTAAATCAATTTGGTTAAAACTTTGAGGTAATGTAGTTTATGTCGTATTGATAAAAAGCTCTAAAATTTTGGAACTATTACGTGGTTGTAATAAAATTATGAAACTTTTATAATAATTTATTTCCTAACATAAAATAATTGTACAAATTCAATTACCTTAAACTTTATCTCGAAACTTCGTTTAACATTTAAGACAATTGGTAACATAAATGTTCGAAATTACGCATATTTGAAAAAAATTAAATGAAGATTTACTAGCTGCGAATTACTTCTTGTTGACT